GGGAGCTTGCAGAAGCTCAATTATTCATATTCCTGTTCTTGGTATTTTGGTTATATTTTTTATCTGTCTCCAAGACCTTTAACTTGTTGTTATGTTGTCAGGTAACCTACCCATTAGATGTCCTCAGATTGAGATTAGCAGTAGACCCTGGGTATAAGACGATGAGTGAGGTAAAAGTTGGATAACTCCAAATTTATTATACGAGGACATATCTGGATCATTATTTTGATTAGTTCAATGATTTCAGGTTGCTTTAAAAATGCTGAAAGAGGAAGGCGTTGCATCCTTTTATAATGGTCTTGGGCCCTCTCTTATTGGAATAGCACCATATATCGCTGTGAACTTTTGTGTTTTTGACTTGTGAGTCTATGTTCTTTGGAAGATCTTAATCCTATATATCATATAAAACAGGGTCCTGGTGTTAGTACTCTAACGTAATGACACTTTTGTGAATGTCAGGGTGAAGAAAGCTTTGCCAGAGAAATATCAGAAACGAACTGAAGCATCTCTGGTTACAGGTTTGATTTCCGCAACTATTGCCACGCTAATGTGCTATCCATTGGACACAGTGAGAAGGCAAATGCAAATGAGGGGTACACCTTATGTGACAATTTTGGATGCCTTCCCAGGTAAGTAATAAATGACGTCATTGCCTGTATCTCTTGTTGTTTTCTTCTCCTTTCTTTTTTATGCGGAGATGGGAGGAGGGGATGGGAGTTGGTAGGTATGTACTGTGTACAAATCCTGGCTGTGAACAGATAATCTGAAAGGTTCAGGTTTTTGTTCCATCTTTCTACACTTTGTTCTTTTAATCTAAACCGTATTTTTGTCTTGTTTGTTCTTGATTTACATGTGCTGCGGTCAAAATTTTGCATGATCTCGATTCATGTGTCCTGCTTTCCAAGTTTTGCTTAGTTTACTTAAGGGATCGAGACTTGCTTGCTAAAGTGTAGCCTACCTTTTGGTTCTAGTACAACATAAACTTTTCAGGCTTTGTGCATCGTAGTAGTCATTGGCACAGGCTTTCCTATGCCCATACTCAAGCCTTGATTTATAGGGAATGCTCCTTACCCCTATTTGTTTGGCTTGCTTTCTAATAGTTTGTGCCGAGAAATGAATTGTTCCTTGAATCGGAACGTCCACTAAGCACGCAAGGTGTGGCCTAATGGTCAATGAAGTAGGTGAAAACCTTGGAGACTAAGGTTCAAATTCCACTATGGACAAAAAACTCTAGGTGATTTCTTACGGTTTGTCTGTGCCTTGCTGGGCTGGCAAAGTTACCTCGAACCTGTAATGATGGGAGATAGCAAGCACCGATGGAATAGTCGAGGTGTGCGCAAGCTAGCCTGGACTCCATCATTATAAAAAATAATATAACTTGCTTTTGTTTTATATAACTTTGGCTTTAATTAACATCTCACGCCTTCACATTTTCGAACAATTATTATAATTTTTTACCATGACACATCTTCCAACAATTATGTTGACAAATATATACCGAAATCAGATAATAATAAATCCATTTTCTCTTTTAACTCGGTATTAGTCAACATAGGTCATAAAAAATGGGGCGAGTGAGTAATAGAAAATAGCTGTACATACTGTCGCCCAGCTGCTTTAATAAAACTGTTTTCCACTTTATGAGGTTTTTTGTGCTTCAAATCCTTTCAAATCCTTTAAGCTTAAAGTATCAAAAAGTATGAAATGTCAAAATTAGATAACATTTTGATTTCAATTCCTCGAACTTGTTGACTCTATAGTTCACTTCATTTGAAAAAGAAAAGAAGCCTTTAAAATTCAGTGACTGACTGATTGTATCATAGTTTTTGAAGTCCATGATCATGCTCGAGAGGGGATTTAAGTTATTTTAAACTGAGAATGTTAATCAACCTAACACTCTTTCTGATTGTTTAAATGAACCCTTTCTTTTTTCAGGTATAGTGGCGCGTGATGGTTTAGTTGGATTATACAGGGGGTTTGTTCCCAATGCGCTGAAAACTCTCCCTAATAGCAGGTGCATTTTCTCATTCCTGTGCCTTCTTCTGTTCTCTTTTCACTTATTTTTTTATCTTCTCTGGTCTCTGTTTCCGCACACCTTTTTTCCATTTTTTGGGCATTAATCAGGCTCAATAGTTTCTATTTGAGATTGTAGCATAATTGATAAATATAGTTAGGCTTGCCGGTTTTAAAATCTCATGTTTGACGCTGTGTTTGTTTAACAAACTGCACGGTTATAATCGCCATCCGCAGAAGACTTAAGAGTTTAGGTAAGCATGTTTTTTATTTTGGTAATTAAAACAATTTTATTACCAGTAAAGAATATGTACAGCTCAAGACAAAAGAAAACATCTCTAAAACTGGCAGCACCCAGTAATTAGAGTTAAGACTAGATCATCTCCACTATATCTCCTTACACAGCTAACTCCTCAACCTCTACCAATTACCTAGGATAAAAATTGAGTTCGTGAATCTTCCCAGCTAATTTTGGCCGCATGCTACCTCTGAATATAACCTCTTGTATAATCAGTTTCACCAGTATATCAGAAGATCTCTGCTTGCGTTAAAAGACTCCATTGTTCCTCTCTTGCCATAAATAGTACACAGCTCCAGCTAGTGTCATTCTGTAGATGTTTGCAGTAGCTGTCTTCCCGTTGCAGTATTTCTCAGCCCATTTATTCTCTGTTTGCCATTCAAAAAAAAAAAAAAAAAANAAAGAAGCATATTTACGTTGTTGCTTCATTCATAAAATGTCATGTTTGTTCCGTGAGATGATTACACTAGTATTCATAAACTAAGGATTCATCATAAATTGACTAGTTTTATGCTGGCTCGAACCAGTAACGTAAGTAAGCTCATGCCTGATGGAACAAACAGTTCTCCAAGGGGACCGATAACAAGGAATTTAGTTACTACTAGTACTAGTATTACCAGGCAATGATCATTGACGATGATATTAACATCATAACCTAACACATCATTGTTTTTGTCTCTTCATTTTCTCCTGCAGCATTAGGCTTACCACTTTTGACACTGTTAAGCGTTTGATAGCGAGAAGTGAGAAAGAGCTCCAAAGAATTATGGAGGAAAACCGCGAGAGACAAAAGACAGAATCCTAGCTACGTACTGCACCATATTGTAGATGTTCTGATTCTTTGAAGGTAATTGATCTCCTAATTAATATTCATGTCATTTTGAAGCACTCGTTCGATGAGCAAGAGAATTGAGCTACCAGTAATCTGGTTTATTGACTGGAGCTCCAATTTTGTAAAACCAGGTTTAGTTGCCAGAGTAGTTAGGTTGGCTTTTTTTATGGTTGATTAACTTCATTCATTTGTGTATTGTTTGAAGTGACTCCTCCTTTTCACTTTGTAGTGGCAAAGAACTATAAGGAGCTGATCACTGAGTATCTATCAACATTACTTTTTCTATGACTACAGCTATTGTGTTATAAGGCCAATTTCTGTTCCTGGTTTTACAGATTAAGGATGGTAAAGACCGCAAAAGAGAGTTAAAGAAGAGAATATTACAATATATGTGATCTCAAACATTGGATTAAAAAGTACATAAGAACCGGAACATAACGTATTTTCATAAATTTCACTACAAAAATATTATCTCTATTCAAGTAAACAAAAAAATAATCCAAAACTCTAGTTGTATCACTCTATGTTTTCGTAGCCCGAACAGCTTCAATAAACAACTTGATTTCTGCAAATGTCCGCACAAGCATCTGAAGTAGCCGTCAACATTCCAATGCTGGAACCTTGCGAGAACTTAATTTCCAAATCCTCACAAGAGACTTGCAATTTTCCACAATTACGTTGTGCCTCTTCGTGGTGGCTTATTTGAACTTTTCCATTTATTTTACCGAAAATCTTGTGGAAAGACCAGAAGAAACATCATAATAGTGTTAGTCATCCAACCATTATAACTATCAGGCAAAGCACCAAAAGTTGCATCAACGAAGTTTTGAGCGCTTTCGTTTGACAAAGACTTCTTCCTTTAAGTAGCCAATTAAGAAGGCACTCTTCACATCCATTTGGTGAAGGGTAAATTCCATGTGTGCTGCAAAGGCTATGAGGAGTCTTATTGTCTCCAGTCTTGCAACTGGAGCAAGGTCTCATCATAATCTATGCCCTTCTCTTGGCTATAACTTTGGACCACCAGCATTGCCTTGTTCCTTGTAACCGTTCCATTTTCATCAAGTTTGTTTCTGAAGACCCATTTAGTGCCAATTATTGATCTGTCCTTGGGTCAGTGACCAGATGCCACACTTGACTTCTTTCAAACTGATTGAGTTCATCTTGCATTGCATTCACCCATTCTGCATCCTGCAAAGCTTCAGCAATATTTTTAGGTTCAATAAGAGATAAGAATGCATCAAAAGCACATAGATTCTTTAGTTGAGATCTAGTTTTAACTCCAAAAGTTGGATCAGTAAGGATGTTCTCAATGGGATGAGAACTTTGATACTTGTAAGGTTTCAAAACCAACTAATTTCTGTTTGGAGTTTCTCCCATGTTCTGTTGTTGAGGAACAGGCTCATGGACAGGTTCCATTTGGAAATTAGATTCACTTCTTCTTTGTTCAGTTCCCTTTGCCAGGTTGCCCTAGATGGAAGAACCTGTTCCATCACATGTTCCTTTTTTTGATGCAGCTTCAGTTTGAGCTGTGACTTCACTTAATTCTTTTACCAGCCCAATAGCCTCATCTTCATATTCCTGTCTCTCAGTACGAATGTTAGTTTCATCAAAAACTACATGTACACTTTTTTCTACACACAAAGTTCTTTTGTTGTACACTTTATAAGCTTTGCTATGTGAAGAATGTCCCAAGAATACTCCCTCATCACTTCTGGGATCAAACTTACCTAAGGAGTCCTTTCCATTATTGTGCACAAAGCACTTGCATCTAAATGCCCTAAGATGAGATATATTTGGTTTTCTCCCTTTAAGTAACTCATAGGGAGTCTTCTCTACAAGAGGTCTAATCATGCATCTATTGATGATGTAACATGCAGTGTTTACAGCTTCTGCCCAGAAGCTATGGGGTAGTTTACTAGAAAGAAGCATAGTCCTAGCCATATCTTCAAGAGTCTTATTCTTTCTTTCAACTACTCCATTTTGTTGAAGAGTCCTAGGGGCAGCGAAATTATGATCTATACCATGCTTAGGGATGGCAAACGGGGCGGGACGGGTGCGGGGCGGGGCAGGTTTAAGCTTATGTGGGGCGGTGCGGGTTTAAGTTTATGCGGGGCGGGTTCAAGAATCTTTTTTAATTTAGCTGCGGTTGCGGGTTGTGCATTTGTTTAATACCTGCATCGCACATTTTCTGCTTTTCATCAAAGAAGAATCAAATGTTTTCGTAGAGTTGTAATCTGCTTTTTTAATTGGAATCTGTTTTATTAATGTTCCCTTGCTTATCTTTATATCTTTATTTTTATTTTAAATTTTGTTAGTTCATAACTTCATATTCAGATATTACCACTTTTTTGGGTCATTAAAATATAATATTGATGCGTCTATTCGGTAAGAATGTAGCATACTAGTTTTAAGAAGATATTTTAAAATTGATTATTATAATTAACTCACTAATTAAATTACTACTTTTACTATGGAGTAATATGCTAAAAGATATTTTTTAACAAGATTAGTAGTAGATACATTGTAGCACATGAAAAACATTATGGACATAAATGGAACTATCGAGAAAAAGAGACAAGAAGGCCATATGTTATCTTTAATTTGTTTGGATTTTTTTAAAAATAGAAACTACTTGTTAAAAATGAAAAAAATGATTTTTTTGCTTTGCGGGGCGGTGCGGGTTTGTGTGAGGCGGGGCTGGGCGGTTTGAAAACAGAATATCTTGCTATACGGTGCGGGGCGGGGCGGGGCGGGACAGGTTGAACTTTATGCGGGTTAAGGATGAACCTGCGCTGCAACCGCCCCACCCCGCCCCATTGCCATCTCTAATCATGCTCATCACAAAATTCAGCAAACTTAGCATTTTCAAATTCAGTTCCAATCAGACCGAATTGATGCAAGTTGATTACCTGGTTATTTATGAGTTTTTCTAACAAAGGCAGTAAACATGTCAAATACTTTATCCTTAGATGTTAAAAACAATACCCAAGTAAACCTAGAGTAATCATCAATACGTACCATCATATATTTCTTACCACCTCTGCTCAATGTTCTCATTAGACCACAAAGATCCATATAAAACAGTTCCATCGACCTGGTAGTGTATACCACTTTCTTGCTTTTAAAAGAGGATCTTACTTGCTTCTCCCTTGCACAAGAATCACAAACTTTGTCTTCCTTGAACTTGATGTTAAGTTACCCTATCACCAGGTCCTTGGAGACTAATTTGTTGAGTTTATTTAGACTTGCATGACCAAGTCTTTTGTGCCATAGGAAGGGATCATTGTCCAACACACTTAAGCAAGTGAGTTCGTTTTCTGAAAGAGTGGACAAATCTACAATGTAAATATTGTTTACTCTTTTTCCCTGCAAAACAATCTTGTCAGTGGTAAGATTAATCACAAAATATTTAGGAGAGGTGAATGCTACCAGATTACCTCTGTCACATAGTTGTGATACACTTATCATGCTATATTTCAAGCCATCTATCAAGTAGACATTCTCAATGGAATATAAGTCTGTCTTACCTACCTTTCCAACCCCAATGATCTCACCTTTCTTCCCATTTCTTAGGTCCTCAAGTGAAAGGAACTGGTTCTTACTTCCAATCATATGCTTTGAGCAGCCACTATCCATGTACCATATTTGACTACTTCCCTTCACTTGGACCTGCAAAACGAAATCAGGGGTTAGTTTTAGGAACCCAAACTAGTTTGGGTCCCTTTCTATAGGCAAAGGGGTGAATTAAATTCCTTTTAGCCCATCCAGATAGCCTATTTTTCTCTTGAACAAAGATTTTGTTCTTTTGACCGGCATTTTATTTTGCATTACATTCACTTTTGTAATGACCAGTCTTGCCACAATGTGTGCAGATTTTGTTCTCAGGAAGTGTGATGTACTTGCTTTTGGGATCCCACTTAGATGCTGGGGTCCCATAGCCAAGTCCTCTGTTATTGCTACTGTGGTGCTCTTGTGGCCAGGATAGTACATCAGAGGACTTATTCCATTTGCAAGTTCTGTCTAGTTCATGCTTCACCTTCCCTAGATCTTCTTTTAAGACTCTTATCTGCTCATCTCTCTTGTACAACTCATCCTTCATTTTTCCTAAATTTTCTTCTAAGGTGAGATGTGTGTGATCAACTTTATTTTTACCTTTTCTTAATATCAGTTTTAAATTTTCAGATCTAAGTTCTAAGATAGTGTTGTTAAGTTCAAGAACCTGGTTCTTCAGCTCAGTGTTTTTACTATCACTTTCACTAGCCCTGAGTTTCAGATTTTTACACTTAGCTTTTAGGACTACACATTTCCTAGACAGTCGTTCCTTCTCATAGTTTATGACCTCAGACTCATCAATGAAGTCTACCAGTAATTCAGATAGCTTTTCTTTAGACAGAAATTTAATTTTGTCTTTGAGATGAATCACACTTACTTCTTGTTCATCATCTGATTCTCCAATGGCCATAAGTGCTTGTTCATCTCCAGCTTCATCTTCTGAATCCTCATATGAGCTTTCTCCCCAAGCAGCAACCATAGCCTTTGTCGATCTTTTGTTCTTCTTGGGTTGAACCTGTTCTTTCTTCCTATTTCTTCGTTCAACCCTTTATTTCTTCCATTCAATTTCCCACCGAGAATAATTCTTGATCATGTGGTCAGTCTTACCACATTTTTAGTAGCCCTCGTTGGTCTGTTTTTCAGGGGCCCTTGGTTTGTTGAAGGTTGCACATCTTGAAGAAACCTTTCCTCTCATTAGATACTTCTTGAAAGCCCTTGTGATTATAGCCATTTCATCATCCTCTAAGTCTGCACCTTCAACTATTCTGAGAGCCAGGCTTCTTTCCTTCTTGGGTGCATCCATCTTCATGGTTTGTCTTCTCAGTTCATAGGCAGTGAGATTTCCAATCAGCTCGTCCAACTTGAGAGTAGCAATGTTCTTTGATTCCTGAATAGCAGTGATTTTGCTTTTCCAAGTTACTAGCAAGACCCTTATCAAGATTTACTCAACCTTGTCTTCTTCAAGGATAATTTTTCCAAGAGACTTAAGTTCATTTGTTAGTGTTGTGAATCTTGTGTACATCTTTTGGATGGTTTCTCTTTCCTTCATGGTGAAATTTTCATATTGAGAATATAGCAGTGTTCCTCTTGATCTCTTTACTTGAGGAGTTCCTTTATGGGCCACTTGTAGAGTGTCCCAGATCTCCTTAGCAGTAGTACAACTTTGAATTCTACTGTACTCGTCCGGACCTAGTCCACACACAAGCCATTTCTTGGCCTTGGTATTCTTTTCCCACTTCTTCAAATCTTCAGCAGTATAGTT